AATTTCTTGGCGGTTGCGTCGTTTCTTTTCTTCGGTGATTTCTTCGTACATAGGCACCTCCTCGTCCGGGTTGTATTGACAAATCGCAGACCCGTTATCCTCTATGATCATATTATGAAGAATAATACATGCGTACATGATATTCCTCATTTTTGTCTGAGAATAACATTTCGACGGACGATCTAGAATGTGCCACTTAGCCTTCAACACCCCAAAGGCTCGTTCAATATCTTTTCTCGCTGCCTCTTGAGCTTTTTTGTAGGTCTGACGTTTAAGACCCATTGGTTCGGAGAGGGATTTGACAATCGTGGAATAATCGGGATATATTCCATCAGCCAAATAATATCCACGCTTGTAAAGCGTCCATCTGAGCTCAAAAGAGGAGTCCGGTGCGGTCTCATTAACCCAATCGTCAAAAACAGGGGATTGATCGAGAACGTTGATGTCGTTGTTCGAGCCCGCGACACCGAAAAAAGCATGCCAAATCCACAAGTCATTCGAAGCAACAGCTTCGAGCATGATGGTAGGCTTCGGATGATCTCCCCGGGAGAATTGATCGTGCACGCAGTGGGACAATTTTTCCATTCCCAATGCGTGCAATCAATACTCCCAAGCATGCCGACAAAGCCGTGTTTAGCGGCATGCCTTACCTGCAACTGCTGGATGTCGCTCGCTGTAGGCTTGCGTAAATATCTTTTATGATAAATTTGAATAATAGCTTTTGAAAATTTATAAACACAGGACCTGATGCTCCGAGCCGACATCTTCAAGTATTCGTCGAACATATCGGATGTCGTCCCGTACGCCAACTGACGGAGCGCGGCAGTGCACTTCTGGACGCTACTAAACCCGCGTCGGCCTCTCGCATCAAACCGTTGGGTGAACCAAGGAACCTCGCGTTCAACATCGGCGAGTATGCGTAAGAAGAGAGGACGACTCATCCGAAAACGATTACTAAAATCCTCCGGTATATACATACATGGATCATTAAAGTAGTCGTTTAGAAGTGAATCGTGAGCGGCCACTCGATCCCGGTTAAGACATTGGCGTCAGGTCCGTCGTCGGTAGGATTCGGCTTCTTCTTGGCCATCTCCCCACCATTGAATACAATTCGTCGCGAAACAATGAAAAAATAAAGCTCTTCTTTCATCGTCGGAAGATAAACCTATTTTTAAATTATATTTTATAAATATTTATAATAAATAATAAATATTTTAGAGAGAATGTAAAGTAATAAAGAGAGATGTGTGAGAAAGATGTATGAGAAAGAGAGATTTTATAGGTTTTTTTTTTAATTTTGAATTTTTTTTTTAATTTGGGGGGGGGGGGGTAACGACTATATAGCCGTTGGGAAGGGGGGAGCCGGCGAAAAAACGCAGCAACGCGGCGTCAAAC